ACTTTAAACAGAATTCAGTTTGAAACAAAACTGAGTCAGTCTCATGAAAGAAGATACTGCTCCATGCTGGTTTGGCACTTGTGGTTGATCTGTAAAAAATAGCTGAATGATCATTTTCAGTGGGTAATGATAACAGTGAGGGCAAGTTGTGTGAGATCTGGAGAGCTAGAAGAGCTTGTGCAACACTGAGGTTTACAGGGAGCTTGTGTATTTTCAGTTTATTTTATATTAATGTTTTTCTCAATATTCCTTAATCCAGTGATATTACAATGATGGTGCAATCGTTTTCTTAGCGTGAAAATACAGATTTGTGATTTTAACAAAGCGACAAAACGAGACAAAGGAGGGAAAGTTTGACGGGATCTGGGACCGCACACACACACACACACACACACACACACACACACACACACACACACACACACACACACATCCACATATAGCAGTAAGTGCACTTTGTTTTGTTGGGAAGGAAAGAAAGTATAACTAGGATTCAGCACAAACTTCAACTTATTGTGAAGGAAATTTAATTTGCAGACAGGTGTTAAACACAAGAATGTAATGATGACAATAAACAGCAACAATCAATAGTCAAGGACAAAAAAGCAATATGAAATGTACATGAAAGATAATATTATTAAAAAATAAATATACCTATAAAAAAAAGGAAAAAACAGTAGTAGATCAAACCAAAGAATAGAAACTTTATTGCCATTCCATATATAACAAAGTGGAAGATTTAAGACTAAGGCCAAATAGAGAGCCCGATAAAGTCCAGTTCCTGTCAGGTTAAAGTTTCAGGTGTGCACAGGGTCACTGAGGGTAAGTTTTGTGTGTGTGTGTGTGTGTGTGTGTGTGTGTGTGTGTGTGTGTGTGTGTGTGTGTGTGTGTGTGTGTGTGTGTGTGTGTGTGTGTGTGTGAGAACAGGTGACTCTGGAGTGCCCGGGCAGTGAAGACTCTCCTCGTGTGGATAAGCTGGTGGAGAGGATCTTCCACTGTAGCTGCCAGTCCTGCAGTAAGGAAGGTGCCCAGGAGGGGGCGGTGATGCAGCTGTATCCAGCAGACAACGTTCTGGACGCTCCGTCTTTATCTGACACCCTCAGCGGTGCTCAGTCTCACCCTCTGCCCCCTTCAGACACACACTCTAATAAGCATGCTCACCCACACACAGACCATCACACACTACCACATACATCAGACGGAGGGTAGGTTCATCATCTGACTCTTCTTGTCACTCATCTCTTCCGCCTCTCTACTCTCCTCCACACCGCATCCTTTGTACCAATCTGTAGTATTGTAAAGACACTTTGAAAATATGCCTTCACTTTGTGTTAAAAGGCATGCACACACACACACACACACACACACACACACACACACACACACACACACACATACACACAGTCACACATTCACAAAGTCATGCTATAAGATTAAAACACACCAGCCTATGCACTCTTTTTGTTTTGCTGATTTAAAAATGCCTATGTGTGCATCCAGACATGACTAAAGTCTGTTAATAAGCTGTAGTCTCATTACTTTTAATCTGCTTTAATGCAATAAATTCTATTGTTGTGATGACTGCCCTTGTGTCTTTTGTTGTATGAACTCAAGGACTAGTTAGCTCCCTCCTTTTCTTGTCACAGCGAGGCATTCACAAAAAATGGAGTTGGAGAAAGTGTCTTTTGTTGAAAGAAGTACCCACAAGTTCCTTTTACTCTTTCTAAAAATCAAGCAGTTTCTTTATATCATGTGGCTGCTGTGTGGGTTTGGGTCAGGGCACATGGTGTTTTTTAACTTTGATCAACAAAACTCGAGTCATGGACAAACATTTAATAGATGTTGGTGCCGCTTACTGGAGCACAGAAGAGCCTCATGATGGATAGAGTCCCTGCTGCTCACTGCTTCATTGGCCTGAATCTCACAGTGCCAGAAAGTTTGATGAGATGCTGCACAGACAAAGTTTTATCCAGATATTTTATTTATCCATGATTTTTAAAAAAAATGCTTTTTAAAGTCAAGATAATGCAAATATCAAGTGTGTATGAACTTAAAGTCCTTTCAGAAATGATCTGTGTTTACCAGCCCGAGCTGCAGTTGACACAAAGTAGGAGATATCTGCTTGATGTGGCTAACTCAGGCTGCTGATTTTGTCCCCTATCTCCACTGTAAACATGTTAGGAAGGGAGCAGTTCATTCCTTCATATGAACCAATTCCCTGAAGTACAATGTGGATTCAGAATGGAAAAAGTTACAGAGGGCCAATGGGATAATTTAAGAGATTAATTTCTCTTAATTAAGGTTCAAATAGGATAATTGGCAATAAAAGCTTTGTGGTATTAAGCAAACATAATATAACACACTCAAAGAAACATTATCTTAATAACTCCTTTTTAATGGGCCTGTAATTTCTGATTAATTCCTTCCACAAAGTCTTCTGGAGAGGGGGGTGTAATCTGGTACAAAAATTAAAGTATTAATTTCACTTAAGCACTAATATAACCTGGAGTTAACTCAGTGAGCAGGTCTGCTGAACATGGAGAAATATGTCTACACAAACAATACAATGCATGTCAACATAGAGTTTCAATAATTGTTGAACAATTAATAAATATCCTCTTGGGTTTCCTGGAGACTTAAAAGGATTTTGTTCTTCCAAGGAAATCCTTATTTTTTATATTTTCCCTGTATTATATGTATATACATAGTGCTGGATTTCATAGCTGTCTCCAGGAAAAGATCAGTCCTGTATTTTCAGTAGTACAATTGCAAACTGGGCTTTGATAATACTTTGTGTAATACTGACATGATGATGAACTCTTTACAGTAACAACACATAATTAATAATAATATTAATCTAATCACATAATTACTTGATAGCACAGGTAATAAAAGTGCGGCCATTGTGTCAAAGATAAGGCTGTTGAAATGATGACCTAATTACATCTATCAATACTAGAGAGACAGACTGATAGATAGATGATCTCATGTTAACAGGGTTCATAGTTGATGTTCATAGTTACTACTTGTTGGACTAAGATGAATTACCATGGCAACCAGCAGGATGCTGTTCAGTTAATGGATGGTGAGTGACCTCGTGTATTGGCTCGAGGTGGAGAGTGACAGAATCAGAGTTGCTACAGAAAAGCTTGATGGTGAAGAGAAAATGTTCAGTCTGTAGTCGGCTGGGCTACGACAAAATAAACAAATGGATCCCAGTCAATACCGAAGCGCCGGAGGACATTACCAAAGAGCATCACTTGAAGTGGCTGTGTTACAATTAGTTTAAAAAGTTCACAGACATTCCAGTAGATGTCAGCAGATGTTACAGGTAGAGTCTATAAAAGGTTATAAATACCTGGCCTCTTAACTTTTCAACTTCTCAGAACCAGATGACAAACAAACCTCTTTCCCAACCAGACTTCCCAGAACATCTCTCCCCTCCTTCATCAATCATCCCCTCATCTCTATCTCTACATCCAGGCAGTGTCTCTTCTTCCATTTCACGTCAGCTCTGTCCCATATCCTCCCATCTTTTTTCCCTTGTTCTGTGTAATTAAATTTGAACAGCGAAAGGTTGACTGTCTGTCTGTGCTGCAAAACAAATCGATCATCCCCTTATCTCGCGGCCACACAGCTGACAATGCTCGGAGATTGGTGAAAGGCAGACCGCAGAGGGAGAAACTCAGAGGGGCCTTTCTGAACATATCTTATTGTCATATATTAACTTGTTTTTCAGGCTTTGATTTCGTGGCTCTCCCTTTTAACTTTTGCTGTGTTTTGTTCTCACACAGGCAGACTTATATTCCACCTTGTACAGAACAGTACTCATTAATTTCCTCATTATGCATGTTTTCTGTCTCTTACAGTTTTTGGTTATTTTGATCTGTGGGGGAGTTACAGGTAAGCAATCTTTACAGTATGTGTGTAATCTTTCATTTAAGTGGGACCCTAATCTCATTTTCCTGAGATGTTATCTGATTATCTGACTACTCTGAAATGCATTTACTTAAGTGAACCTCAATAAAGGTCACTTGATAGGACAGATAACAAGATGAACTGGTCCACGAGCAGCCTTTGTAATAATTTAGTACGGCTTATTTTAGTTATTAGTGAACAGACAAATGTACCATACTATTAACATTGTCTCTATAGGATTAGTTAATTGTTAAAGAGTAACTTAAAATACAAGACTGAAAAACAGTGATGTCAGAGTGTACTGACACACCCTGAAGTACATCTCTACATCACTGTAGCAGGGTAAGAAGTTAGACCACTTTTTTTTTTTTTTTACCTTTTTAATCCTTTTTTTAAATTTGGTACATATTTATGGACTTATTAAATAAAGCTTCAATAAAATACTATTTTCTAGACCATTTTCTAATTACACCTACTTTATAAAGGGTAGATAAGTTGCAACTAATCTTATTGATTAGCATTTACTTTACTTTAATTCTTCATATATTAGTTATAAGCCACTAATAAGAACAACGTTTTGTTGCTGGTTATAAAAAAAAAATCCCTTTCTTTGGTTTCTATTTGGTAACAATGCATTCAAGTCATCAAGTGTTTGTTTTTTTCCAACAAAAATAAAAAATGTGAAGTTCCTAATAACGTTAATAAATTGGTCGATTTATTTATTTAAATATATATTTATTGATCCCATAGTCCCATAGTGGAGGAAGGTTTTCCACAACCAGGAACAAAAAAGTTGTTTCCCATTAATGTAAATGATAACTGATGTATGAACCAAACCATCAGCTGAAACGTATATAAAGCCTTTATACAGGGTCATGTTGTCTGAACGTGATACCCCACCCTGACCCACCCCTCTGTGGTCTTGTCTTACATTATGTGTTTTGCATGTTGGTTGTGGGGATGTTTTTCATATGTGCTCGGTTAAAAAAAGTATTTTAATCTTAAATATAACAGTTGTTTTTCTGGATGCTTTCTGGAGGCTGTGAATGTACCTGATGTACGACCTCGTGAACGCGCACTTAACGGTAGTGCGCGCGTCCCGGAGTGTCTCGGCTCCCTCAGACGCACAGAGGCTCCTCACAGCAGCATCAGCACAGCAGCACCGGGTTCAACTCACAGGTGCTTTTATCCGCTGCTGTTTTTTTTAAGAAAAAAAGGAGTATCTGTTTTATTTAGTAGTGAAATTAAGAGCTCGATCACCGGGTGAAGCATTCAACAAACAGCCGAAGGATTAACGAGATTTGTACTTGGAGGTAGGCAAGAACATTTTTCATTTATAGCGTGTTTATTAAAGGATCCATAGGACTACTCTATCACATGGATTCATCTTTCTGACACCTGGTTTACTTTGTTTTTACTTAAGAAAAAGCAATCAAGTATGAACTAAAATCAAAATATAAAGTGTCCAGTATTTTATCCATCAAAGGTAAAAAAAAAAAAAAAAAAAAAAAACAGGACATCTGGAAAAAAGCAAAGCGAAGAATTTCTTCAGTTTATGATGAATCTGTGTTGAAACCAGTGTGTGAGCTGGTATCTGCAGCACAGCAGGAGGTTTCTGCAGGTTAAAAGGTTTAAAATGGATCTTATTGGCAGTCCAGGCTCTAGTGATAAAGCCCTAATCAATGAGATCGATTGGAAGAGCAATGGGAAGACAGTTAAAGTGTGTGTGTGTGTGTGTGTGTGTGTGTGTGTGTGTGTGTTTGTGTGAAGTCAAAGGCTATAGGTTCCTCATTTACATAGTCTAATGAGTTATTGGCTACCTGGATGGCTGCCTGTGCCTTGCTACTCTTATTTAAGGTGTTAAAATTCAACATGCATGCAACAATTAGATGCAGCTGAATCAAACAGCATCCAGCCTGTAGAGGAAACATACACTTTAGGTGTTATTTTGTGTGTGATTCAACATGAAAGTGATGACAAGCTAAGGAATGGGATTATTATACTTTATTTTCCATTAAATTAATACAAATCTTCACAATATACAGAATTTAAATAAGCACAGTGATGTTTGCAAGCTCACTCACAGTCCCCAACAACAACAACCTCATCCTCGTACATTTTATTACATTTCTTACTACATTCATTAAATAATAAAACAGCCTGAATCAGAACAATTCACCCTCAGTCTGCTCTTAACAGAGTATGCTCTCTCTTTCTGTCTCAGGATGTGTGGTATGGACGTGGACCTGGACGATGGTGGTTCAGGCGAGGAGGAGAAAGAGGAGGAGCTCTGGATCGGGGAGGGGGTAAAGATGCTGCCCCCTCCCGTGGCACACAGCGGGGGAAGTGCGTGGGGCAGCCGCAGGGGCAGGTGCGGCTGCGTGACCTGCGGGGCAGCTCTCGTCCTCTGGAACCTGTGTGTCGTCTTGGCCAGCGCTCTGCTCCTGGCTGTTGTCTTTGCTGTGGTGCTGCTGCCTGCGATGCTGCTGCTGTATGCTGGTTTCCTCTGCCACTCCAGGGTGAGTTGTCTGCAGCAACTGTGGGCTGAAGGTTAAGGGAGGTGGGTGTGATTTGAGCTTCAAAAGTCAGGTTGTAAAGTTGCAGCTGCCTCTGGATGATTAGTCAGAGGATACTGGACTGAGGTGGAGTTCACTGGCACAGACACAGGGTGCTGTAAACCAGGAATCACAGTGGGCCGCAGAGTACAGTATTTCACAATGTGAAATAATAGGATAAAGATCTGAGTTGTGCAGTAAGAGATGATGATTTGCAATGTATTACATTCTTTGCCACAAATTATGTTCCCAAAGGTTTGTTCGTTTTCTGTTTAATAAGATTTACATTCACTTACTTTGCAGCAAAGTACACTGAGTTATCACATAAAATGAAATCATAATACTGTGGAACAAATGTCATAAATCTCTACAATGTCCTGAATCGTTGGAGGTAAACATACAGAATACAGTGTGTGATAGATGGTTTCCCTGCAGCTGTAAAATGTTTCTCATGGCAACCATATAAATAACTAAACAACATGCCGGACCTGTCCTTAAAAGCCTCACACTGGTCCAGATACAAGACATATACCATGTCATTGCAACGTCCACATGTTTACCATGTAGCTCAAATGTAAAAATTAAGGAAATAATGCACGAAAGAATGAAAAGAAAACTTATGTAACAAGTTGTAAAATACATAACTTGAATATTTTTACATTCTCCTGTTTGAGGGAACATTTGCATGTCAACCCTGTTTCCTGTCATTCCTCCAGTTGATGATGATGAAAAGTTCTCCAGGTTTCCACAATCTGGAAGACATTTTATTATTAAAGCTATAGTCCATGTTTTCATTATAAAAATGGATCAGCTGCCTCTGTATTGTGAAAGGTGTTGCTCATAGTGGCAACCACACAGATATCACCTGACTCTCTTTCTCTCAGCTCTCCAGCATTTTAGTGACTTTCAGCTATTTCTTTTCAGCCCACGATTTAACTGATATGGTTCAATCTCACTACTCTCATCAGTGTTGTTTCCAGCCTCAGCATGCAGCTGTTTTCAGCAAAAACAACCCCCACTGTACACTACATGCTCATCACCAAATAACAGTCACAGTTAGAGACTAGCTGGTGAACACAGTGGAGCATTTAGCAGCTAAAGAGACAGATATTTTTCTCAGCTGATAGAGAGCCCAACAGAGCTAAAATGCATTTACACTCATCATGTGGACACAACCAAGAGTGGAAATGAATGATAATGTTGTTCCCTAACAGCTGGATGGTTAAATAAGCAACTGTTTTCTAACTTCACCATATTAATGTGAATTTTGATTTGCAGATTACTGTGTTTGTTTCTGCTGCCCATAGCTCTGTGCCAACCTGACAGTAAGTTTACTAATCATTTACAAGGAGGAATCTGCACTACTCCTACCCACCCAGTCTCCTTGAATTTACCTGGATGTTTAGACAAGTAAGCCCATGTCACTTACAGAAAGTGGGAGGATTATGTCTCATTAAGACTGGCACCGGCACCGGGAGTCTCAGAGGGAAAATGGCAATCACGGCCTTAGGGCAAAGTCTTTTTGGCAGCATAAGTTAAACGCCAGTGGCTGACAACTTCTCCACAAGTGTTCAGGCTCATTCTTCATGTTTGTACTTTGTTTTTCTTAGGAACAACAAGCTAATCCAAGAAGATAATGACTAAACTCAAATGTTGGAGCCTGCCAGTGTTTCTTGAAATGAGGTGAGGAGGAGGGTGCGGCTCCTTCTTTGTGAGTCACATGAGGGGCAGATAGATCATCAGTAAAATATGGTGTGTCCAGGCATGATGCCAAATCATGCTGTGAAGAGCTACAGCTCTGTCCTTGGCTCACCCGACAGGTCATAACAGTACATCCCACCTTTGAATCAGTTGGTCCTTTTGCCAGAAACCCTGGTTGTCTCAGTTGTGAATGATTTGGTTTCCAAAGGCTCAGCCATGTAGAGACAGAGCAGACAAATTAAGAACATGCAAAGTCTGTTCGTGGAACAAGACTGTAATTGTGATTAGGCCAGAGCAAGTGTCAGCTCAGAGCCAACAATTACAGACAATGTCAGTCAGAGAGTTCTGGTGACTGACTGAACATGGAGAGAGAGGACCCACTGAGAAGAGGGTCTGATTTGGTGCTTGCACCAGCTGTGCACAGACACACAGACAGCACGACAAGGAGGAAAATGTACTCAGTGAAAGCACAGTGTGCACTTGACAGAGGTGTGTCTGTCTGTCTGTGTGTGTGTGTGTGTGTGTGTGTGTGTGTGTGTGTGTGTGTGTGTGTGTGAGTGTGTGTGAGTGTGTGTGAGTGTGAGTGTGTTAAACACTGCTGTTGCTAGGGTACATTTGTAGGAGGCAAAGTTCCTTTTGAAAAAGCTTACAATAGGAAATTGTCTAGAAAAAGGGCTTCAGACGTAACTAAATAATTTTGTGTGTCTGACTTCGACAGTGAAAAGGAGATAATGTGTGTGTGCTTTATGTGTGTGTGTGTTGTGAGTGTTTAACCCTGGTGTATGAAGGATGTCAGTGTGTACTTCTGCAGCTGTGAATGTATCTTGTGCACTCTGATCTCAACCCTCGCTCTTTCTTATCCATTCATTGTTTAGTTCTCCTCCTGCCTCTTTTTTTTTTGTAGTTTCCGTCTCTTTCTCTCTGGCCTCCCCGTGCCCACCTCCTCCCCCTCGCTCGCCGTCACAGGTGATTGACAGCTCAGAGGGTTACTGACAGCTACTGGGCTGCTCGTTATCGGAACAGTAGGGGGAGGCTGGGAGAAACTCTGTCACAGCCCACTACCCACACGGTCCCACTTCTGCACCCTGAGCATATGCACACACACACACGCACACGCACACGCACACACACACACACACACACACACACACACACACACACACACTAATCATACCTGGCCAATGACAAATCCTGCCTATTTGCTTTTTGACAGAAGAGAAGCTGCTGATGCCAAAATGTTCATCATGTCCTCTGGAGCCCTTCTGATCTCCTCTGTTTGTCCTCATAGGTCCTTGATGCCCCCTCTGCCATCTGCCGTTACCTTGATGACAACAGCTGCTCCGCCCTCATCATCCTAGGCTTTGTGATGATGTCACCGCTCGTGGTTGTGGCGGCTGCCGTCTTCTGTGGGCTGCTACGAAGGTTTCGGCTCCTGCTTTTCATTCAGCCGATCACGCGTGCCTGGTACCGGGGGCGGCTGCTGGACTGGACAGCCAGCGTCCACGCCTGGGTCTGATCAGGATGATACCAGATGGTCGGATATGCCAACAGTCAGGGGGGATCAGAGAGTTAGATCAGAGTAACCAGAGAGCTACAGGGGGTAGACAAAATAAAAGCAACACCTCACAATGTAATGAATACAACAGTGCTACAATAAAACTTTCTTATGATCAGTTTGGTTGAGAGGGTTTTAGACGGATGTTGATTCAACTAGAGGTTATATTTTAAATAAATAGTTTGACATTTTGGGAAATACCCACAATGTAGTTGGTTCATTCACTTTCTTGCTGAGACTCAGATGAGAAAATTGATAGCACTATAATGCCTGTATGGTAAAAATGAAGCTGTAACCAGCAGCCGGTTAACTTAGCTTAGCACAAGGACTGGAAGCAGAGGGAAACAGCTATCCAAAGTTTAGAAATCTGCCTCACAGCATCTCCCAAGCTTACTAAATAACACTTTATATCCGTAGACGATATAAAACATGGACATAGTTTCCGTGATGTCACTCAGAGGTTTCCGATGAGCCGCTCAAAGCGCGGGGGCTCTGGCTGTCGGCAGTTCGCAGTCTCATAAAACATCAGTGGGTTTTACAGACTATCTCTTGGCTGGGTGTAGTAACTTCCTGGAGGCTCCGCTGGTTGGTACGAGAAACTGCAGGTAGTCCTTGCTGTATTGTTTTTACACTTGTTTTTGTACAGATTAAACAAGATATAGCGTATTAATTAGTGGTCTTCAGAGGTGTTGGTAGGTGCGTTTTGTGGGCTAGCTATTTCCCCCTATTTTCCAGTGTTTAAGCTAAACTAAGCTAATTACCTCCTGGCTCTATGCTTATACTTAATGGGGAGATATGAGTGTTGTGTTGCTCTTCTCATTGAAGAAAGAAAGCAAATTTGTGTATTTTCTCAAATTTAATCTATTCCTTCAAAGTTGTATTGGGCTGTTGTACTGGATTGCGTATTTAAAGTTGTCTTCATTATTTTGTCTACCCCCCTACAGGTAATTTGGGGATTTATTGAGAAAGATTGTGCTTAAGTTCATTGTAGCAATTTTCACCTCAGTCTTATTTGGCTTTATCTTAGAAACTGAATCCTTTTCAGTGATTTGTGGAGTGACGTCTTTGTAATTTAACCTCACATTCAAAGAAAACATATTCTGCACTTGTTTGATCTGACGAAACAAAATGCATTGTGCAACAGGACAGAAAAAATACTATTCACGTTTTTGTAAAATGAAGGATGAATGTAGGATTTTCCTTTGCAAGAAAGACTCAGATCAAGTGTAACATTTCCTTTCACAGGGTATGTTGAAGGGAGAAGACGTCACAAAGTGGTTTATTATGGTAGTATTCTGTTAGAATTTGTGTATAAAACTAATATTTTTTGTGATTTTGTATTGCCTGTTTGCTAACTATGTTGACATGGTAACATGTGGGACTTTCTCAGACATATATTGCAGTGAAGTTATTTGTGCTTGCACATTTAGAAGTCTTGCAAAAAGTCAAAACATAATTGCAAACATTGGATTTGTTGATCTGCTTTGAGTTGGTCCAATATTTTGGGTTCGGTTCCCTGGGACCTTCACACGCCCTGAAAAACAGGGCGATTAGTGTAAAATATGTGATAAAAAGCAGCATACAAGGACTTAAATATCGTCTGTGAGGTGAATTAAATGGACAATGATGTTTGTACTCGAACAAGTTGATCTGATGTAGCATCATTAGCAGTCATGTCTTGTGGGAGGAACGGCAATACATGAAACATATTTCATTGAAGGGCCATAAAAAAACACACAATACATTATAAAAACAACAGAAGTTGACAGTACAACAAAGTAATGGCTGTTTAGTGGGATCCAGGTGTTAAAGTGGGATTTAAATTATAAGATCAGGAGCTCATTCTGCTGCCTCTTTGCTTTCTGGTCATTTAAATTCATCAGTGACACAAACGCTGCACATCCTTTTTATCTGCGTGTCAGCGCTCCGTAATTAAGTGTTCAGATTTGAGGTTTAATTTCTCAGAAGAAAATTCATGAGGAGCAGTTATTACTCGTCCTGTAATTATACTGAAATGTATTAATTTTCTATTTAAACATATTTATTAGTGTGTTGTCTGTGTCCTGTTATTATTATCCTCCATTGTGTGTAAATTGGTTGTTTACAATAATGAAGCCCTGGAAAAGGTATTTATTTTTACTTCTGTTGTGTGTTATATTCTGGGTTTATTTTTTTGTTCAGCTTTTCATGTCAGTGTTATCAACAAAACAGCAACACATTGTTATATTCAGACCTTCCATCAATAAAAAGAGGGCTTTTTTCATTCGTCTCTTTTGTGATGTGACCTGTTTATAACGGTTTGAAAGGTCTGAGGATTCCAGTCCTGTGAGTGATGACTTAATATTCAACTCTGACTTTTTCTGCACACACATAAAATCACACTAAAAGGACATCATGACCTCAATTTCTAAACAAAACGATACAAGAAAGTATCTCACACAAGACAGATGCTAACCCTTCCCACTCTCAGTTCACCTTCTGTTACGGTGGGTTTGTGCAGTGACTAAATAAGCTAATTAAAGGAAAATGTGTCCTGTACAGTCTGTCCAGTTGATGTATGTAACCAGTCCAGCACTGTTTATATTGACAGATATCATCCTTCACCTGTTTAGAGAGTCTGCATGTGTTGTTGCTTATTCTTTAATTAGGTAAGCGTGTTTGAGAACATTTGCCGTGTGAGAAGTTTGGCTTCTTTGTTAAAACAAGACTTTAGACTTTGAGCTAAATGCTAAGGCCAGCATGCAAACATGCTCACAATGCTAACATGCAGATGTTAAGTGTTCATCATCTAAGTTCAGTGTGATAGCATGCTAACATTTGATAATTAACACCAAACATACAGAATAGCTGAGGCTGATGGGAATGGCATTCGTTTAGCAGGCATTTGGTCATAAACAAAAATAATTGGGCAAACTGAAAATTTGATGATAATGATGATGATGATGATGATGATGATGATGATACGAGCAGTGTGTAGGATTTAGTGGTGGTGTAGTTGCAGATTACAACGCCCTCGCTTTACCGTCCTGTTCCATATGTGTAGGAGAAACTATGCCACAAAACTAGCGACTGGCCATATCTACAGCCAGTGTTTGGTTTGTCCATTCTGGGCTACTGTAGAAACATAGCAGTCCAACATGGCGGACTCTGTAGAAGACAACCCACTCCCTCTGGAGATAAAACATCTCGTTCCAAGGTAACAAAAACACGATTCTTATTTTCAGGGAAAACATACCTATGAATATTTTATTCCATTTCAGATCCTCATGAATGTTACATACTGGGCCTTTAAGGGATCACCATCGTTGTCATACTTCATCCCCGGGAGGACATGTCTGTCCCAAATTTCATTGCAATCCATCCAGTAGTTGTTGAGACATTTCACACAAAAACCCACAAATGTGAACCTCATGACGTTAAAAGAAAAGTCTGTCACCAACGTACTCACTGGGCCATCTATAGAGTCATGCAGCTAGCATGGCTCAAAAGTTTTATAAAGATTGACAAACAGGTATCAGCACTTTTATCAATACATTACAACACATAATGACCAATGTGCACATAAAACAACAAATAACACATTGACAAAAACAGGCCCATTCATTAGCTGTTCTGGAGCTTCTGATTGTATCATGACCTTCATCAGCAGTTGAACTTGCTCAGTTGTCATGTAGTTGTAGTTTTTCTGAGCACATTAAGATTTCTTGTCCATGTTGGCTTAAAAATTTAGATTGAAAGTTAATTTTTGACCTTGGAAACAGCAGTTAACAAAACAATATCGCCCTTTGAGCTGTTACCTGTTAGTCCTGCAGTCTTTGAAGAGTTTGAACCAAACCAGGTGTTAGAGTGAAACTGGGAGGCTGGAGCAGAAAGATATGCAGTGCTACTGGTCAACATAAGCTCACTTTGTTGTGTCTCCTCATTGGGTGACTCATATGTCCCAGTAAGCTTTGATGTCATCATCTACATGTACTGATCACTGCAAAGTGGCTGAAAATGTAGCTGAGCCTTAGTGTGCTGAGACAGAGAGAGCAGAGCCAAATTGGATTTCTTTTTCTTTCTTTTTTAGTTAAAAAGGAAAATTGTCTTATAATTTGGGTCAATCACTGTTCCAGTACTGTTCTGTTTTTAAGTGGTTGACAATTAGAATAGATGCATGAGTATGGGGGAGGAAATTGCAGGAGGATGGTCCAGACAATGAGCTCTGAAAGCCAAAAACTTCAGCAAGTGGCAGAGTGAGCACGGGGTCATTGGTATTGATGCCCTTCAAAACTACATTATAATAATTTCCCTTTAAACTATAATTAGAGGTTATAGAATCTGTGGCTCACCTCTTGAAAATGCTCCAAATTTACTTTTCATCAGTGTCACCAGTTCATCATTATTCATTAGTTCCCATCACACTGCGAAACACATTTTAAGAGTAATTTAGTCTAATATTCAACGTTTGAACCTTTGAATATTTCCATTTGTAAAAACATCATGAAACAAAACAAAATAGAACATGTTAAATTCTACTGAAACCATGTGACATTAAGCCAATCCATTGGTAAATGTCTTATCCTTGAGAAGAATATTAGTTTAGGACTTGTACTAATATAAGTACTAATATACTAAATTAACCCAGCAGGTCGAGGCAGGCAGCCGTCCACATAGAGCCGGGTTCTGCACAAAGTTTCTTCCTTAAAAGCAAGTTTTTTTTCTTGCCACTGACACCAAGAGCCTGCTCATGGTGGGAATTGTTGGGTCTCTATAAATAATTTTATAAGCATTATCCTCTATACCTGCTCTATGAAGTATCCTGAGACAACTTTTTCAATGATTTGGTGCTATACACAGATGAGTTTTCACTACATGGCAGCAGCTCTGTGAGGCTGAACATAGGCACACCGGTGCTTCATGCTAACATCAGTATGCTAACATGGTAATGTTAAACATGGATGTATTAATAGAAACTGGATACAGAGTTGGAGTCAAGGCTCTGCTCATTTTTCATGAAAGCTCCTCAGTGGTGCATAAAGCCAAAAAAAGATTTCTCAGTATAAAATTATCCGGAGCTGCCACATATGCTTCCGCATTATGGGGCGCAGAGCAAACACACCAGAGATTTGCAGTTAACTTGAAATAGGAATAAAATGATTTAATTGTTTGGGTCGTAGACTTTCCAAATGTTATCACACAAGTTCTGATAGTGAAACAAGTTATTTTGCAGGTTTTGAGATGGTCAAATGGACAATGTAATGTATGGGGACTATATCAAAGACTGGTGCTCTTCTTGTAGGTTAGATGTTAAACTATCACCATGGTTAGTTTAGTGTGATGGCCTAATTAGCTCTAAACACAATGTTCAGCTGATTGGCTGATATAAATGTCGTTAGTTTTGCAGGTATTTGGTCATAATTCAAAGCATTGATTCTAATTTTGACCTGATGATGAGACTGGATGAAAAGGATCTCCAGAGTCATTAGGCTACAATTCATCCTGAGGAGGACACGTGTGTAGATTTCTTGTGAACCTCATGGTGGCGCTAGAGGAAATGTCAGAGGTTCACCAAAGTCAGTAGATGGCATCCTCCTGGGGACCGTGAACATCTGTACCAACTTTCTCATTATCCATAAAATAATTGTTGAGATATCAACATTGCCAGAGAACCATGCTGCCAGCACAACAATACTCACAATATTCCCGTTTTAGTGACGTTCTAGTGAAGTTACCTTTTAGTGACAGTTCAGTGGGGGACAAATACAGCTGATCTAGTCCATTTCCATATATAAAGGTATTATTTTTAAAACCTTGTGGACTCTTAAAACTTGAATCCATTAGTGTAAGGGTCCTTCCAACTGCTCTCAACAGTCCCACATATTTTTACCAGAGCGATGAAAATGTTGGTTTTTACTGTTCTGTCTCAAAGTGGACTCTATAATGGATGCTTCTGTCTGCCTGAGTGCCACTTTTAAAAAGGAAAAGTCTATTATTTCAAAGCAGTCGTATCAATGAGGAGAATGCATGTTAAGTGCTGACTGTAATGATTTCCAGTCAGTAGTAGCTCTAATATTTGAGTTCAAACATTAAAAAAGTGATAATTCCCATAAAGCACAATGAACCAGAGGTTTACAGGTTGTTAGGTCTTGTGGTTGGACACTGGTCTCATATACGTTACAATATGTTATTAACACCAAAACCGCCTGTAAGTCTCTTACGAACATTCGTCACAGGTGAACCTTTTACTGCTGTCATCCCACTAAATAACCCCTTCTTGATCATAATTATTACTTTATGTATATTTTGATGCAACTTTCACACAGACACTACTGATTTGTCTCCATGACAACTTGGATTTTTCAGTTTTTTTCCATGGGAACAAAATCATATCATAGGAAATACTGATTATATATACTTTATACCAGTGGATGTGACAAAGTGTGCCACAAATCAGAAAAACTGTTGATCTAACATCAATATATGTGTAGATAATGTGTGTGTTTGTGTGTGATTGTGCAACTTTCTGGAGCAAAGAGGACCAAGGCCTTTCAGTAATAAAGATGCCACGATGAAATGTAGGAGCAGTTTTGTGTAACTTAATCCCGACTCAGCCTGCCAAAAGACTTCATCAGTTTTAAAAACAATTTCACCAAAGAATGCAAAACGAACATAATAAATTGAAACACAGTGCAGCAACAGCATTGACATTCATTATGTTTTGTCCACACAGTGCAGTCACAAAGTATTACAGTGTGACTGTGGACTGTATTTCATTGTTTCGGTGTTGTACTCCAGCACAGTGGATTTGAAAAGAAACAATAACCTTCACTTTTAAGGGTGTTTGAGGGTGTTCTCGCTCATATTGAGCAGTGTGGCCCATTTCTAAACATAATCCTACAATTTTAGGAGAGTGCAGTAGAATAATAATTGTAAACATACTTAGGAGTTTTCATGGCCCAACCACAGACTGTATATATCCATTTCTTTATATACAGTCTGTGGACATAACAGGGAAGTGTTGTTGGTCACCTGACTTTAAATTAAACTGTGCACTTACAGAAGACCAACGAAGGCAAAAGTCCTTAAAAGAAGAACTGAAGACTGCTGCTGGACAGTGTGCGGATGTTTCACACCAACTATTGTAGGTTCAAACTTAACTAAATTAATAATGACGCAAAGTGGGAATCACACAAACTAGTTTTTATGCAGAGTTTAGTTGTTCCTAAATACTGACACCCAGTAAGTGTAGTGATTATTCCTTCCAGTCAGTGCTATGACCTA